TTTTTTTTTTGATAAAATTCCATCATTTAGATCCAACACCATCCTCCATGAGTTTTATCTGGATTCCATGCTCAGAAATCGAGATTCAACATACTGAAAAATCCTGGATACGTCACTGGACTATTCGTCGGATTATTCTAGATCTTGGACAGAAGACTCTGAAATAGATTGATTAAGAAAGAAAAACAATACATTCCATTTTACAATATAAATTTGAGCTTTAAAAAGACTATGATTCGAACAGCATCTATATTCTCTTCGGATATTGGAAGTTATACATCAATTAAACTTTATTTTATTGTTCATATTTCACAACAATGAGAAATCAGCGATTTTAACAATTTTAGATTTTATGGAAACATAAAACTACTTGATCGAACTTTTAAATTCTAAATGATTTATTCAGAGAGCAATCTGATTAGAATATAATATGAACATAGAAAAATAAATTAAAGCGTTAAGAACGAGAATGATGATTAATAACTCCAAATCGGTTGAATTTTTTGAAAAAGAGGGAAATCATTCAAAGTAGTCGAAATATTATAACGTTGTCCACCTTGATAAAATGCTTTTGTATAATAATGTTGCCAAACTGAATAATATTGATCAATTTTAGGTAAATAAACTGAACGTGATGTTGCTTGATATGTATAAACAGGAGCAACTAAATAATCTGTTCCAAACATATATTGATCTTCAGATTGATAACATTCTAAATCATCATTAAAATCATAAAACATTGGTCGTAAAATAGGTGTTCCATTTTGATTAGAAATATTTAAATGATATTCAATATAATCACGTAAAGATTCTCGTAATTGAATTATATTAATAATTTGTTCACTATATTTAAATAACCAGACTTCATTATGTCCACCAGAAAAACCACATTCATTGTCTGGAAATGGTGGATAACGTTCACCATGTAAACGAAATAATGGACAAAATGCTCCAAATTGAAACCATCGTAATATTAATTCTTGAAATTGATTATCATCTAAACCAGCATAACGATAACCTCCGATATCAGTTGTCCACCAATAAATACCAGATAAAGCAACATTTTGCGCTACTTTTATCTGTTTTAATAATTCTTCCCATGACGAATCAATATCACCACTCCATACAGCTGCATTGATTCTATGACTACCTATCCATGCTTGTCTACTAAGCATAATAATTTCATTTTCGTTCTGATCTTTTAATCCATCCCAAAATGTTCGTTGATGTTCTCTTACCCATACCATTGCTATTTCTTCATCATGTCTCCCATACCACCATTGTAAACCAGGACGACCTCTTTCTGGTTCATCAGCATCTAACCAATAAATTTTTATTCCATAATCATAATAATTTCTTTTAACTTTATCCCAAATAAATTGTCTTGTAGTTGGATTAAATTGATCAGGAATATAAAGATTATCAGTTGTGCTTGGCAAAGCATTTCCATTTGCATCATGAGTTAATAAACCTGTTGTGTTCATAAAGAAAAAATTTTCTGAATCTTCTTCGACATGTGGCCAAACAGATACCATTAAATTCATTCCGTATGATTTTAATTGATTAATCATTTGTGGAATATCTGGCCAACATGTACTATTAAATTTCCATTCACCAAGTTTTGTCCAATGAAACCAATCAATAACAATAATACTTACGGGAATGTGACGATCATAATAACCTTTTGCAACATCTAATAATTCATTTTGACTACGATAACGATTTTTACTTTGCCAAAAACCTGAAGCAAATTTTGGTAATGGATTTGGATGACCAATAACATCAACATAATTTTTCATAAGAATAGGATAAAATAATGAAGAAAGATTTTGTTCTTTAGGAATTGTTGTTATCCAAATATCAAGTTGATGTGTCGCATTGGCAGTCCACATTATTTCTTTATCATTTTGAACATCAAATGATCCATAACCTGGTTGATTCCAAAGAAATCCAAATCCTGATGTGTGAATATACCATGGAATTGTTATATCACCATTTGTTGGAGCAGTTGAAGAAAAAACAAATGGTAAATGAAAATTATGATATGCTAATGTCAGATTTTCACCATAATGATGTTCACCTAAACCATATAAATATCCATCTGTAATATGATTATACATTAATGATAAGCTATAAAGATTATATATTGGGGAATAAACAGAAAGTGGATATTTATATGGTAAAAATGTGATTGATTGTGTTTCAATAAGAATTAATCCATCTGACTGACGTTGAATTAACCATCTTTCATTATCATCACTTATGTTAAATTTAATATTTCCATGAATAAATGTATTTGAATCTGGTTGTTGACAAACTTCTTCATTGAAGATTGGCTGTTCTGGAAGTAAAGCTTGATAATCTGGATTTTGGATAATTACATCTGAACTTAAACGTATTCGAATACTATCAGAACCCCACGATTCAACTTGTAATTGTTGTTTTAAACCATTTGAATATATATATCGGGTAAATATACATGGCGATGCATCGTTACAGGTAATCAAATAAACGAGAAGTAAAATAAGAAATTCACCATAATATTTCGACATGATTCATATAAATATGGTCAATTGATTTTCCTAAATAAAAAGAATTCGTTTTTAATCAGTCTTACAGACTGAAACATGTCTCAGTGACAAAAATGACGTTCGAGATGCATGTAGTCTTAGCGACCTACACTTATTAAGCAGAAAATGATAGTCATCTTATTTTATCAGTCAATATACTCACCTAAGTTCGTCTTTTTTAACGCTTTACTTTCGACTATCTATATATATATGCGTTATCTACCTATTGACGTTGGAAATAGGTCTCCAATGTCTTTTGGTGACGAACGCAACTAATGAAACCTCGGCAGTCGAACGCAAGAAATTGATAAGAACGTCGAGATACATCTCCATAAGAAAACATATGCCTGTACTTATATTTTTTGTGGTTTTTCTAGTAAAAAATACTTTACTTGTGCTTATTTGAGTTCTGATGCATATCCGAAGGTACCATTAAAAGAGAGCAAGTTTAGACACTTATATATTCAAGTGAGTGAGTGCATCTCTTGTGCATAATTTTATCAACAAAAGAGTTCTAGAAATTGCTAGTGATCAGAAAAAGAAGTATGATTGACATTGGATCAAGGACAGTCAAAACACATCAGATTAATTCAGGGGCAGCGCGAAGAGGTCAAAGCAGGGGAGGGTACCTTCGAAAAATGAGAGAAAACGTGAAAAAAAGTTCAGGGGGGTACTCTCGAAAAACGGGAGAAAATGTGAAAAAAATCAAATTTTAAGGTAATCGTTGAGCAAAAAAAACGAAAATTTTCAAAACCAGGGGAGTACCCCCCAACCTCGCGCTCGCACCGCTCCTGGATTAATTAAATATCTCATTCTTATCAAGTACAAATTCTAGAACTTTGTTTTTCACATTGTTTTTCATAATAATCGTGGTCATCCATCGCTAGTTCACATGATTTAGTTGAGCAAATCAACCATCAACTCATATTTAATCAAGTGAATGAAAACCTCTTGAGAAATTTATTTATTTTAAAGTACGAGATCGATGTGAAGCAATTAATCTTGTGGATAACATACCTTTTTAGCATGTTAACACAAAGAGCGTTCATTTTCACGAAATCTTCAGCATAGTGGTAATAAGCTGTTCAATTTTCAAATTATATTTTCACTAATGTGTTGACTTCGATACAAAAACCAGTGAAACTGTTAGTTTCAATTAGATTCATTGTCAGGAGTGGTGGATCTTCCATATGTTGAAGAGATTAATTCAAATTAAAAATAATTCCTCATATTAGTGTTAATTCATATGTTAATATATGAAAAGGTGAATACTTACGGTCAATCGTTGTCGATGAGAAGTAGTAACCTCTTGTTCACTATTTAAAAAGTGAATTCTTCTTCATCAAATCGGTCATATAGTATATTCTTACTAAGCAACGAAACAATTTCTATATATGACCGTTACCCCATAAAATTGTACAGAAAGAAAAAAAATACAATAAGCTATTGTTCATGCATCGATTATTTTTATTATCATCCTTGGCTACATGAAGAAAAAAAGAATTTTCGAGAGAATGACGATCTTTTTTTGGATGAGAAACTCTGGTAGTATCGCTAACGGAGACTTTAGGTTTATCAAACGTATTGTGATTGAGAGAGCGCGCCGATGAAGGAGCTTATTTTAAGCCTATCTTTCATCATTAAAGTGTAACTTTTTAGTTATTCTAATAGGAGTGTCTGAACTATTTTCTATCCCAAAAGGACAAATATAAAAAACTGAAAATATGATGCTTGCCAAGATTTTAATTATCCAAAAAAATAGATCAATATGAGCTCAAAATATCATAAAATCATTAAGGCAAAGCTTTTTCAGACATAGGATTCAGCACCCTCAAAAAATAACAAACAAAACTAAGTTTACAGTATGACTACTGACTGATATACACATTTGTGCAAACCAGAATAGACATTATAATCATCCATACTTTTTTTTCTAAAAAAAACCAAATCAAAGAGTGCAACAATTGTAGTTGAACTTTTTCTTTGATGCACTTAACACGCATTATGTATTTATCTTATTAGAGTTTTATAATGAATAAGTTTCTGATTAAGAATGAGAAAAATAAAGAGTATAAATATAGATAATGATTATTTATTGCAATTAATTTCGATTAATATTAATTTAAAATAATATCTTCATATATTTTCAAGTATTTATTAAGTCACACGCATTAATTTACGTATATTATCTTATAGATCATTCATGATATATTGAGTTTTCAAGGAAGATTTTATTTGAAAATTGAAAATGTCGTCGGATATTGATCGAGTTATTTATATATTCAGTATTGCTGATTGATTTATATATACGTTTTGGTTTATTGATAATAATAATAAGGACAATTGGTAATATATGTAATTGTTTTGTATTTATAAATATATCTCCTTTAAATAAACATTCAAATGTATTATTTATAATAAGTACATCAATAGGAAGTTTATTATTTATAAATACTGGTTTATGGACAATTATTATTCGAATATTAACTGGAATTGATTTAATGAATCGTTCATTATTTTGGTGTAAAATAAATGGTTGGTTAACTTATTCAGGTGGTTGTTTTAGTTTTATGTGTAATTGTTTTGCAGGTCTTTCTCAATGTTTAATATTATTACCAAATATAAAAGGGCAAAGATTAATAACACGTACGAGAGCAAAATTAATAAGTATATTAACAGATATTATTTATTTATTAATATTTATTCCAATACCAATATATTATACGAATTTTCAATCATCAACATTAACACGGTGTGGGTGTGGGGTGTGGGTGTATGTGCGGGTGTGGGTGTTCGCGGGTGTGAGTGTGAGCGTCGGTGGGGGTGTGAGCGTGGGTGTGTGCGAGTGTGGGTGTATGGGTGTGGGTGTCGGTATGAATATGATTTACATGCATAACAGCTAGAAGCACACTCACACCCACACCCACACCCCCACCCCCACACCCACACCCACATCCACACCCACACACCACACCCTCAGACATTGAGAACCTTTTTCTGAACAAATTTGACTTTCTTGAGCAATTGTTTGATTGAGAACAATCAACAAAAGATCATTTTGTTTTGGAGTACTAGAAATATAAACATAGAAATGATGTAACTCTAAAATAACTTCTTTAAGTTTATTGAAATTCGACTTCATCTCCATAATCGATGGCTGATTCACGTCATGCCAAGTTTCATATTCAAGTTTGTAATTAACATTAATATGTTTCGTATGACCACACTTGCACTTGCTACTCATTTCAGGAACTAAATGTAAATCATCAGGTAGTATCCACATTCCGTTAAATTCCTTAGGAGTACGTTTACACTCAGAACAAATACTTGAAGACTGTGAGACAGCGACAGTTTTAAGTTTTATTTGTGCTTTGGATTTCTTTTCATCTAGTAATGCAATATTTCGAAGAATATTTCGCATTGCTTCTAAAGTTGGACGAATTATTTCATTAACTTTAAGGTGTAAGGGTTCACTCGAATGCCATTCAATATCAATAAAAGATGTCAGTTCTTCAGAAACATATTTGAAAAGACGATTTGATTCAGTTACTGGAACTTTCCAACTCGATCGATATTCTTCTTGATATTTATCCAATTTAATTCCATCTTGAACAGCAACCAAATAACGAAACGATTCATTATCAAACGAAAACGTATTCGCTTTATTGAATGGAATATGTTTATCTGGTACACTATTAATCATTTTTTTCAGTAGTGGAGCTGTATCACCTGGAGCATAAAATGTTGCTCGAGTGTTCGTAAAACAAAAGACAATATTATGACAAGCATTTTCACCAAAAAAATTAAGCAAACGATTGAAGTATGATCGAAGAATAATATTCAGTCTTGATTCATTCGGTTTAAGAAGTATACAAATGACATTTACATGTGATAGATTATTGATTAATAACAAAATATTTTGCATATTAAGATCGTCTTGGTCTATACCGCGACTATCACCAATTCCAGGTGTATCAATTATTCTCAAATTCATTTCTTCGTTCATTTTAAAAACATATGATCTAAAATGTTGAGTTACTGATTGACCCGGATGGTTATGATCTTCATTAGAATCATCGTCACCAAATTTAACGGTTTGTTCTTCAAATTGATCACCAACTGTGATAAGAAATGAGACAGGCATGAGTACTACAGGTTTACTCGAACAAGCTCTTTCGAAAGTGTCAAATGGGAGATAATTAACGAAAGCATTGATAAATGTTGATTTACCAACACCAGATTCGCCGCCCATGGAGTAAAATATTGAAGGAAACGGACTGCGTAACGCGTTTCCGAGGTTGTAGCATGCGTTTCGCAACGTTTTTGCAATATAGGACGCGTTTCGCAGCATTCTTACTTACATAAAATGCGTTTTGCCATAGTCGTTTTTTGAAACGATCCGAAACGCTTTTTTCAAGATGGCGTTTCGAGGCGTTTCCGAATTAAAATGCTGTCGAACGCACTTTGGTCGACAGGCGACGCGTTCCACAGATACAAATTGTGGGAAACGTAAAACGCGTTTCTTTTTCAAATGTGTGTTGCATTGTTTTTGCTTGGAATGATGCAAAATATATCCATTCTGCATACAGAATCTTGCAAAAATTCACCAACACAAAGCATAGGAGTTAAGCAAAGTAAATTCTTTAAAATTACTTTGGAAATGATATGAAATAGCACTTGAAAGTTTGCTCCTTGAACTATTTTTGTACGTGAAAATCATGACCCAGGATTTTATGAAGGCAAGACTAAAATCAAAGTCTTGGAAATTTTTAGGCTGCTAGGCTGTTATCTAGACCTAATTCGAAGTTAGACTAATGTAAAACATCAAAGTGTAACAAAAAATATATTCTTCTTACTTAAAAACTCATTTCACCACGTTTTTATTGAAATAAAACGTGTTTCGTAAGGTTTACTTAAGAATTGTTTTCGACTTGTCCACGGAGGGAGATGATTCCGTCACGCTCGTTTGTAATGAATGAAAATTTACAGACAATTTTGCAGTGTCTCATTTTGACAAGCACAATTTTTTGTCCAAGATTGCAAATGCATTGAATTCTAGAGATCGAATCATTTGTATGAAATAAAACAAATAAAGCGTGACGGAATCACGTTTTACGTGGACAGGTCGTTTTAAATATTGAGCATTTCGAAGAGATCTAGTAAAGACTGATACTAATATAATTAGTATAGTAACTCTCTTTGGTTATTTGTGAACAAAAGAATTATCGTGTTATCTATAATTTGAATAAATATTAGTTTGAGTTCATACTCGAACTAATTGATAATAACTAATGATACTGTGTACAATACTAGTAAACATGATTTTAGTTTGTACATTGTTGAAGTAAGAGTGACTTTTTAATAAAAGAGATTCGATTTACAAAAGAAAACT